AGCACCCGTGCAGTACTTGGCCTACTTGGGGGTATTTAACACATGTCCGTTGACCTGACCCTTCCTTGGATCTCAAACACATCAGACAAGGCATCGTGATGATTTCCTTCCTGGGCTAAGTGGCTCGGTGTGACGTTGCTAGGATTCAGCTTCCCCATCTGTAAACTAAACGGGTTGACCTGGACAATATGAGCTTCAACTGTCCCAACAGGCCCCTCTGCTTCCCCTCAGTCAGTACCCCTAGGGCAGGGGAGGCACATCCAGGCAGTCACCAAACAGGTCTGTGGATTGGTGGGTCTGTGGTTTATTAATCCATCCACTCAGTCAATCATTTATTAGGTCACTTAGTTAACCAGACAGCGGCCCAACAAGCAGCTAGTAAGTTCACAGCATGTTCTGGTCCTTGTGCAGCTTCCAGCCCAGTAAGCTCAACCCAGAGAGAAAGAGAACAGCAGGACGCAGGGGCCAGACCCAGGCCTCTGCGGGCAGCCAAGGCCCCTCCCGGGTCCGCTCTCCCTGGCTCTGCCTCCCAGCCTGGCAGGCAGGTAGGGGTGGGAAGGGGAGCCTCCGAGAACCACTTTGTTCTTTATCAGCTCCATAGCTGGGCTCTGGCCAAAGGCTGAAATACTCAGGAGCTGGGGGGAAGAGGAGTAGAAGGAAGGAGTCTGCCCACCGAGGCCCCTTGTCCCTCGGCAGCTGCCAAGCCCAGGGCAGGCCTGGAAACCAGCTCCTCCAAGTTCAACGTGGAAAGGAGACCAGCCCTGGTAGAACCATGGATCATCACAGCTGGGAGGGACCTCAGAACATATCTAGTCCATGAGTCCCAGATTTGAGGATTTGCAGATGTGGGGATTTTCATCTGACCACAAGATTTCAGAACAAATTTAAGGGGCTGCCATTGGTTGGCCAATATTTTAACAAGTTAGGGCATATGTGCCATCCATGATCACCATCTCATCTAAAAAGGACATTTTAAGAAGAAAAAATTAGAAGGATATAATCTCAGAATAAATGATGATTCTTAAATTATACTGAACTGTCTTAGTCTGTTTTGTGTTGCTATAGCAGAATATCTGAGAATCTGGGTGATTTATTTATTTAGTTAGTTATTAAGAGATAGAATCCCACTCTGTTTCCCAGGCTGGAGTGCAGTGGCTTGATCATAGCTCACTGTAGCCTAGAACTCTTGGGCTCAAGTGATCCTCTCACCTCAGCCTCCCAAGTAGCTGAGACTATGGGCACATGTCACTATACCTGGCTAACCTTTTCTTTATTTTTTGTAGAGATGTTGCCCAGGCTGGTCTCAAACTCCTGGGCTCAAGTGATCCTCCTGCCTTGGCCTCCCAAATTGCTAGGATGACAGGCGTGAGCCACCGCGCCCAGCTCAGTTCCCCATTTTTTTTTACTGCTACTGGGCCTTCGTAGGTTTTCTGGCATTTACTATGTTAAGTGAAAAAAATAAGAGCTTATAATATTATTTTGTATTTCTTTGATGGACTTGAGAATGTTTCATATATTTTAAAGCCATTTTGATTTTCTGTGAACTTTAGAAAGAATTTTAAATGGTAGTATAAAAACTTGAGCATGTTTCTATGCTGAAGGGAAGGAGTCAGTGGAGAAAATGGAACAATGCAAGGGGGAGCTGATAGTGGAATGAGGTTGGAGAGGTGGGGAGGGTGAGGAGGGTGGGGAGGAACCACAGCCGGCAGGGAGCCAGCCCTGTGCAGAGGAGGGACCTGCTTCATTGGAGGATGAGGATGGGATAGGAAGAGAAGATGCTTAGAGATGCAGGAAGGTTTTGGGATAGAGAAGAGAGAAGGTCAGGGTGTTCACATGTGATCCACCACCGTGGTGACCCGTGAAGACAAGCCATCTGCTGGAATCAGGGGCCCTGGTGAGGTTGGGACTGGGTGAGAGGAGAAAGGTTCGAAACTGACCCAGAGAAATGCTAAAGACTAAGCCCAGGAGTTCGAGACCAGCTTGAGCAACATAGCAAGATCCAGTCTCTACAAAAAATTAAAAAATTAGCGAGGCATGGTGGCGCACATCTGTAGTCCCAGCTACTGGGGAGGCTGACGCAGAAGGATGGCTTGAGCCCAGGACTTTGAGGTTGCTGTGAGCTAGGCTGACGCCACAGCACTCTAGCCCTGGTGACAGACTAAGACCCTGTCTGAAAAAAAAAGAAGAAAAGAAAGAAATCGGGAACTGGCTTTGTAGTCCATCGTTGTTGGTGGGGTAAACAAGCAGGACAGCATGTTTGGAGGGCAAAATGACAGTATCTTTCCAAATTAAAAATGCACATCCCACATATCAAAATTTTCATAGCAGCTTTTTTCACAACAGCCTCTTATTGGAAACAATAGTAATGTTCACTAACAGAAGAATGGACCAATAGATTGTGGTATACTCTACAACAATGAAATTAAACAAATTCCAACTACATTCAGCAACACATTGAGTGAAAGACTCCAGACCCAAAATTGAACATAGAGTATGTCCTTTGTAAAAGTTTCAATACATGCAAAACCAACCAATAGTGTTAAGAAGTCATGGTAAGGATTATCCTGTGCAGGGAGGTCAGAGAAGAGGGAAGTAGTGGCTGGAAGGAGGCTCAAGGGGTCTTCTGGGATTCTGCAAGTATTCTGCTTCCTGGTCTGGATGCTGGTGACACAGTACAGTTGCTTTGTGAAAATACATTGAATTGTACACATTTTTTCACTTTTTAATATCCATGTTATACTATTCTACACTTCAATAAAATGTACAAAAAAAAGAAAGAAAACAAACGCACAGATCAGTTACCCAGCAATTTCAATTTTAGGATCACATGCTGTAGTTTTCCTTCCGTGTGGGCAATGGATGGACATGATGTTCCTGGCAGACTGGAAACATGTTAAATGTCCTGGTTATGTAACCAGAGTGTTAAATAAATTATAACGCATCCATACGATGGAATATTATTTAATGAGGTTGATCTTTATGTACTAAGCAATAAATTCCAAGATGTATTTAATATTATAAAGTCGACAAGCAAGACACAGAGGAGTATTGAGCACTATCCTTTGTGTAAGAATATGCGTGCATATCCATAGACTCTCTGGAAGTATGCACGAGAAAGTGGTGGCCTTCTGGCCTGTAGTTCATGCTTTTTATATCGAGTTATCTATGGCCACGTCTACTTGGCCTGCCAGACCCTGCTCTCAGACCCTCAGACCCTGAGGGTCTGTGGGGCTTGGCGCCAACGAAGTTCTCAGTGATGTCTCTGAGTCAATGACTCGAAACTGTCTTTAGCTTACAAACACGTCCCTATCCCTCTGACTACAGGCAAAATCAGGGGTCTGGTAGTGACCACAGCCCATCTGCCTGGAAGACTGGCTAGACGAGGGCGGAGCAGGGGCTGACATCTGCAGCCTGAGCCAGCCTGCTACCCACATTCCCACATACACCTGCCGTCCAGGGAGTGGAAACAGAGCCTGGGACGAGAGAAGCCAGAGACCATCTCCTGGGAGAACTGCGGCTACCTCCTGTCCTGCCAGAATGAGGACTGGGTCAAGGTCACAATGGCAGAGCAGGGATTTGGATCTAGGTCTGACTCCGAAGCCCGTGCACCCTGCCTTCTGCTGAGTCGGTTAATCATGGTCACTTCATCTTCACCTTACTGTTACTTTCAGCAAATACTCTCTTCAGCCTACTCAACCCCGTGCCCAACCAGAGTAGGCCTATGAAGAACTGTTGGTGGCAAGAGCCCTGGGCCGACCTCAGTTTCCTTCTCAGAATGAGGGGAACACTCTGCCTTCTTGTGTGAGTTTGCTGAGGCTGGGCCTGTCCCCGTGGGCCCAGGGCTTCTCTCACACAGAGCACAGTCCCTGGGGAGCAGGAACGCCGTCTACCCTCACACGCTGTGGGCTTTTAAGGATGAGGATCCTCACTGTGGCCTCCGCACCTTGCACTGCGCCAGCCCACGTCAGGGCTCTGCAAAGGTGGGCTCCATGGATGAAAGGGGGGATGTCCCACTGCTGCACTGCAGGCCGTGGCGATACAAACATCTGCTCTCCAAGAACTCAGCCCTGCAGAAGTGGAAAAACAACACCAAGAGAGAGACACGAGCAACCAAAATGCAGAACAAAAAAAGGTGCAGTGGCAGAGGGCCAGCTCTCTCATTTAGGCCTGAGAACTTCCCGGAGGGGGTGGCATTTCCACAGGGTCTGGGGAAAATGGGCAGGTTTTAACGGGCTCCTTGCAGGTAATTACCCATCTTGGCCTCCCCTGACCCTGTAACAGGGTGGCCGACTTCAGCCCAGAGACGCCTGAGGACAAGCGTCCGCGGAAGACTCCGGCTGCAGAGCTCAGGCTCTGGCTGTCGGTAGAATGGAGTGGACGCAGGAATGTCACCTACAACCAGCAGCTCTCAAACCTCATCCCAGTTAGGGATGCACTCCTAAGAGCCGAAGGTAGATTACCAGAAAGTAAAAGCAGGCAAAAAGGGTTGAGACCTCCAGGCCGGTCCTTGCTACCAGGCGGACTCACTCCCGAGAGCCTGCGCTCCGGGTAGATGCAGGCGGCGCCTTTAAGCGCGGTCCCCCACCCAGGACAGGCAGCCCAGCCCTGGCCCCGGCCCCGACCCCGGGACTTCCCAGCACGCCACGGCACCGCCCCCTCTGCCCCAGCGCCCCCTCGCGCCGCGCTCCCGCCGTGCCGCCGCCGGGACCTTTCCCCTACTTTCCAGGACCTCAGGCTCCGCCCTCTCGCTCCGACCAAAACACGTGCCGCATCCCGCTCCGCCGGATCACGCCCCGACCAGGCTCCGATCATGCGGCCCCCTGCGGCACCCATTGGCCGGCCGCGCACGGGCCGGCCGCGGATTGGCTGAAGGTGGTCGGCCCCGCCCCGGGGGGCGCGGTCTATTTTGGTTTTGACTGTGCGCCCCGCCCCCGTGCGGCTACCCCATCCGCGACAGCCCCACCCCTCCCGCGCCGCGAGGGCCGCGCCGGGGCAGAGCCGCGCGGGCGGGCGGAGGCGCGCGCCGGCCGCAGGAGCTGCGGGTTGCCGCCGCCCGCCGCGCACGTGCGGCTGCTGCCGTGCGCCGAGCTGACGCCCCGCAGCCGCTTTGTTGCCTCCTGGACGCCGGCATCATGCACGGGCCGGGCTCCGCGGGCCTGGGCGACGCGCGCGGGGTGAGTGGCAGGGATGGCGCGGGAGGGGCCGCCTGAGCGAGGGGCGAGGCGAAGGGCGCCCCGCGGTGCGGGGCCGGCGTGGATGGGCGGTGTGCGGGCCTTGCCGCGGCTGCCGCGGCCGCAGGGGTATAGGCTCGCGGCGGACTCTGAGGCCCGGCGGGGCGGCGGCCGCGCGGGGTCGGGCCGGGCCGGGCAGGGGGCGTGTGCCCCGCGCCGGCGGAGGCGCAGCTTTGTCTCGCGTTCCGGCAGCCGCCCCGCCCCGCCGGCCGCGGGCTATTTCCAGCCATGACGTCACCCCGGTCCAGTGCGGAGGGCGGCCGTTGGGCGGGGGCGCGGCTGGCGGGAACGCGGCACGCGGGCGGGGCGAGCCCGAGAGGGCGGGGCCGGGGCGGCTGGCGGGAACGAGGCACGCGGGCGGCGGCGCCCTTGCGCGCCTGGACGCAGGGGTTGCGGGGAGGCGGGCACGTGGACTTGGGCGGAGCCCGCTGGTCATGGTGTGCGGGCAGCTGCGGGCTTGAGCGGGGCCCGGTGGGCGTGGCTGGGCCTTTGCTGCGCGGGCTGCTGGCTCCCGGGCCCCAGAGGCGACGCCGGACGGCCCACGTTGTGACTTCACAGTGGGTTTCGTGCAGCAGGCTGCCGGCCAGAACCCGGGCGGAGTGGCATTTGTAAGGCCTTTTCTTTACTCGTTTGGTCTGGGGGGAACACGGGCACACAGGAAGTTTTGGTGCTTAGGCAAATTGAGTGGAAATGTGTGTCTTTACAGACTTTCTTTTGGAAGAAATCAGCTGATTCCATTCGCTTTCCTCCTCCCACTTAAAAAGAGATGGTGCGATACACCCGGAAGTGATCCTTCCCCTGGGTTGTGGCAGATCTCTTACACACTCTCATCCTCTACCGTCCCCGGGGCAGGAACAAGTGACAATGTTTCTGAATCTGTTGAGGAAACAGGCTAAATCGCCATGGGATCTACCTGCAGGAGCCCGTGGAGTTCAGCCGCTGGGAAGTGCTGCCGTGGGAATACCCTGGCTTAAAGGGGGGAGGGTGAATGCGCCAGAGAGTGTCTAAAAAGGCCTCTGGAGGGACACTACTCTGGTGGCTTTGCCAAATCAGCCATCATCAGAGGATCTTATTCACTGGCAGACCTGTTAGATGGCCTTAGTACCAGTTCATCCTTCCTGTGTGACAGCTTTGCAGGGGCCACTTTAGCTTATATTTCTGGGGTTAAAGTCTTACTAATCATTTACCCAAGAAAAACATGAACTTAGTAATCTTTTTTAAGAGTCAGGGTTTTGGTGGAAACTGCTTGCCAGCTAAGTTCAGTCTTCAGAATGTTAGCTCGAAAGCAAAGTTGTCATGAGTGTTCCATTAACATGTTTTACTAGAATGCAGAGCTGTTGCGTGTGGAATATTGCAGGTGCATTACATGCATAGTACAAGCTTCTGGTGTGCATATTCACGTACCCATTGTGGGTTACCTTTCCTGTTTTTCCCCTGCACTGAAAAGCCGTTGTGTTGCCTTTAGGTTGACATCATGGACATATGTGAGTCAATCCTGGAGAGGAAGCGGCATGACAGCGAAAGGTCTACGTGCGGCATCTTAGAGCAGACAGACATCGAAGCTGTTGAGGCTCTTGTTTGTATGAGCTCCTGGGGTCAAAGATCCCAGAAAGGTGACCTATTAAAGATAAGACCCCTCACACCTGTCTCTGACTCTGGGGACGTCACCACCACTGTGCATATGGATACGTCTGCGCCTGAGCTACCAAAGGACTTCCATTCTTTATCGACTCTGGTAAGAGGAGGTGGGAACAGGAGCATTTTTGTGAAATAACTAGAGTAGCTTAAATAAATGTGTTCCTCACAAAATTCTTCAAGAATTCATGGGAAGATTCACTGGGATGCTAGCAAGCAAGTTGCAACCCTCCCTTTGTGTGGGTCAGAAGGGGTAAAAACTCCCTGTCTTGAAAATGTACTCTTTTCATAGCTTGTTAGCTATGCAGTTAGTGTCTATGGTGTGACCTCTAGATTTTTGTGGAGACTGTGATTTTTTTTTTTTTTTGTGGGGTCTTGTGTTTTGGGTGTGATTTTCTCCGTGTGCCCGTGTCCGTTTTTGGTCTGGGTGTGTGTGTGTGGGCTGTGGAGAGCGTGTGTTTTTTGATCCGGCCGGCTTTGTTTGTTGTTTTTTTTGCTTTCTTTTGGCGGCCACTTTTTTTTGGTTTGGTTGTTTTAATTCTTTTTTTTTTTTTTTTTTTTTTTTTTTTTTTTTACTTGCTATAGCTGTCAAAGTACTTACAGAAATTGCTTCTCAGTTTGGAGAATTTGAGAGCTAGAGGTTGCTAATAGTGAAAATTGTGATGTCCTGGGCTGGAAGCTTGCATCGGAAGAAGAGTGTAGAAAGCAGACCTGGAGAGGGTTGAGAAGCGACTGTGGGTGGCAGCCAGGGTGGTAGAAGTGTGGGCCTGGCTGCTGGGAGCCCCACTGAATTCCACAGCGTTGGGATCTTCTGCAGGTTTGGGAGGGCTCAGTGCCATGGGGGGCAGGTGAGAAAGTGAAGTGCCTCGTGCAGCCGTGAAACCTACTGAGGTGTTAAGAGCAGGCTTAGACCAGTCTTCTCTAGATGTTTCTGTTTAAAGGTGTTGGGGGCAATGTGATCAATTAAGTCTCTTTTAAAATTTAACCAAAATGACATTTTCACATGGTACTTTTGTTTTTAAGTGCATAACACCTCCTCAGAGCCCTGATCTCATGGAACCATCAACGGGATTACCTGTTCCTTCCCAAGCAACTGATTCAAAAGCACACAAAATCACGGCCATGTCCCCGTCCTCTGCTGTTGCAGCCAGAGTGCTGAGCCGAAGTGGGGAGAGGGGCTTGCCAGGTTTGAAGCCAGAGCCACTAGAGCCATCCCGTGGCCCACCCTGCAGGGCCGTGGTGACCAGTGTGATCCGCCACACTGGGGAGAGTCCTGTTCCTGTTCACTTTCCTGCTGTCCAGACTCCAGAACGACAACTTTCTGACAACAGGGAAGGAGAAGCACAGTTTCTGGGACATTTTGAAGCTTTGCAGGACCCAGGCCTCACACACAGTTTACTCAACACTAACTTGGTGCCCTGTCAGCCTTGCTTGCGCAAGTCTGGGGGCCTGCTCCCCACTGACAACGGCCAACAGGCAGGGCGGCCCATTGCAGTTCAGACCTGCTCACCAAAGAATTACGAAAATGACTTGCCAAGGAAAACCACCCCTCTGATCTCTGTCCCTGACCCCAGTCCCCCTGTCCTTTGCCAAATGATTCCTGTGGCTGGACAAAGTGGGACGTTACCAGCTTTTCTGAAGCCCCCTCCCCAGTTGTCTGCGGGGACTGTCAAACCCATCCTTCCCCAGGCTGCTCCGGTGCCTCCACCTGTGCTGGTGGGACCGCCTGTGCCTCAGGGAGCTGTCATGCTGGTTCTGCCCTCGGGAGCGGTCCCTCAGCCTGCCACCTGCTCTGCCAGCGTCATGACTATTGGGAACACCAAGTTGTTGCCCCTTGCCCCTGCTCCAGTGTTCATTGCTTCCAGCCAAAATTGTGCCCCTCAGGTAGACTTTTCCCGAAGGAGGAACTATGTTTGCAACTTCCCGGGCTGTCGGAAGACGTACTTCAAAAGTTCCCACCTCAAAGCTCATCTTCGTACTCACACAGGTAAGTAAGTACTGGGGCAAGGTGGAGCATTGGGCAGGGGAGACCCTGTGGTTAGGCAGCACACTTTGAGCCTTTGGGTGGGAAGGAAATGTGAGGACCACTGGAGAAGGTGGAAGTGTGCTTTTTCTTTGGTTCTGAAAAGCCCTCAGGATCTTCTAGGGGTTGGGTTATCACTAGCACAGCCAACACAGAGTGGCCAGCTGGCCACCCTGGGGTAAAATGTGGTATAGATCTGTGATTGGGGTCCTTTGATAGCTTTTAGGGTGGCTCACATTTACTGTTCCCATTTCAGTAGACATCTTGTGCTCTGCTTTCACATTCGGTTAATGCGTCTTATCAGTGTGACTTAATGTTTACTGTGGGGGAAAGGCTTGTCTGTACTGTATAAAAGTTCAAATTCTGGGATATTTTAAATGAGTATTTTTTCTTTTGAGAATACATAGTTTTTAATTCACAGTAAGTCACACAAAAAACTAGGACCCAATGACCTAGTGACCTATTATCTAATCAGCCTTGTCCAATAGAATTTTCTGTGACAATGGAAATGTTCATTATCCATTAGGGTAGGCGCTGGCCACATGCACTTGAAACGTGGCTAGTGCGACCGAGGCACTAAATTTTACATTTATTATAAGTAGCTCCGTGGGGCAGGCCAGTGGCTACCATGTTGTCTAGCAGCAATCCGAGTGTTGCCCGGAAGAAAATCACTTCAGTAGATGAGGGCACCATTTCTTAGATGTTCTGTGGAGCTTTTTGTTCAGTGAGTTAGTGTTCTGTTGTTTTGTTTTTTTAAGGGTTCTGTATGGTTAAGTTATATGCTTATTAAACTGGCTTTTCAGAAATTCACACGTGCATTACATATAAGCACATTAATAGGGTGGTTGCCACTTAATACTTAGCGTAGGAAAGCTCTGATCATGGTAGCCGTGTGCGCAGAATGAAATGCAATCTGGTATTCAGACCTTTTAAGAACTCTACTATTCCTTCACACTACAGAGTGGCTGTTTGCTTTGGGAATAATGTGCCAAACTTATTTGCCTCTCTGCTTATGCAAAAGCAGCCTCTCTCAGGTTCCATATTTCTACCCTTCACCCTCAGCCCTCTGCCCATCTCTACTTGCTGGAACCTTCCAAGGGCCTTCCCAAAATCAGTTCTTAGAATGTTTCCTGATCTTCTTTCCTTCTTTGACCCTAGTTATTTATTGTATGTCTCACCAAGTTCTGCCTTTGCTTTTTATTCACGTAAATACTCATCTTATCTCACCTGAATCTGTTCCTGGTACCTGACGCTAGTAATGATGGCTAGTGTGGGGCGGGCATGGGGGCTGTGACCTGCTTGGCGCCCGCGTGGCCTGTTGATTTGGTAAGTGCTGCTCTTCTCTGAGACTACCTAGGTGAACTTCAAATCACAGCACAGCACAGCTTCCAGAGTTGGGAGGTGACAGAATGAGGTTCTACTGTTTACTCAGTTTGCCCTCTTGGGCGGAAGTACTGATAAAATGGCATAAGATGTGGTGATCCAAACAAGTTCCTTCCATGTCGCCCTAAGTACTTCAAGTTAAATAACCATCAGCCTGGTGTGGTTGCATGAATCTGCAGCCACTCAGGAGGCTGAGGTGGGGGGATCACTTGAGCCCTGGAGTTAGAGGCTGCAGTGAGCTATGATCTCCTCACTGCACCCCAGCCTGGGCAACAGAGGGGAGACCTTGTATCTAAAAATTAAAAAGTCAAAAATTTAAATAACCATAAAGGTTCTGAAGAGTACCCTTGTTCCATTTTGTAAACTCTGTTGGTATTTTTATGAGAAATGGAAACTTTGGGTAAGATTACCTTGGATAAGATCGCTTTTTATATATTTCTACCAACCTGAAAATATTTAAATTGGAGTAAGGTAGAGTGGATGCTACATTTTTGTTAGGTTGAAAACAAGTAGGGAATTTTATATTAATATACCCTATGCCAAAGGGCTATTAGTCTCTGTCCAACACCTGGACGTCCTGGTGTGCTGCCAGCCATGATGGTAGAACCTGGGAACTGGTAGGGCGCTTTATGCTTATACCATGGAGTGTTTGAAATCATGAAGTTTCAGGCCCTGCTGCTTAAAATGGTTTGTGAAAGACCATTGTGGTGCTGAATCTTCTTGTTGATTCAACTCTGAAAATCGCATATATTTAGTTGGTGTCTCTTAAACTGTTTGCCACCTGTTGTATGAAGTGCTGTGCCAAGGGCTTAGCTGTACAATGGTGCATGCGCTGGACAAGTCATAAATCCATGGAAAGACAGGCCACGCAACAGCACGTAGCAGCGTTTTACAAATCAGCGGTCGCACGCGGTATGTGATTGTCATAGCCTGGGAAAGAGAATGGCTTCAGGTTGTAGGAAAAGATGCTCCGCTGCTGGCTAGGAAAGCCCCAGAGGGCTCTGTCGTGAAGGGGGGCCCATGGTGCCTGGTGGGAGGCTCCCTCGCGTACCTCTGTAACTGCAGGAGACACAGGATGGGGTACTCTATATCATCTTTTGAAAGATTAGTTTGCGTTCTTTGGGCCCTGACATACTACGTTTTAGGTGTGGCAGAAAAATTCATCTTGGAGGATTTCTTGACTTCCGAATCACACAATATCAGAATAATAGGATATTATTTTCTTCTGAGATTTTGGTGAGCAAAATATTAAAATGACATGAACTGACCTATCCAATAAGGTTCATGCAGAATGTTTAATATGTGTTTTCTCACCTCTTAGGGGAGAAGCCTTTCAGCTGCAGCTGGGATGGCTGTGATAAAAAATTTGCTCGTTCAGATGAACTGTCTCGCCACCGCAGAACTCACACAGGGGAGAAGAAGTTTGTGTGCCCGGTGTGTGACCGGCGTTTCATGCGCAGCGACCACCTGACAAAACATGCCCGACGCCACATGACTACCAAGAAGATCCCGGGCTGGCAGGCAGAGGTCGGCAAACTGAACAGAATTGCCTCTGCAGAGAGCCCCGGGAGCCCGCTTGTGACCATGCCGGCTTCTGCCTAAAGGTTGACGAGGGGTGGCCCAGGGGATTTTTAAAAAGCCTCTTCAGGAATGGAGCTGATGGGTTCCTCTCCAAAAAAAATGGTCTTAGGGGCTAGGGGAAGGTTGGGGAGCTGGTTCTGATGAAAGTATGTTAACTCTTCTTTTCTGGTTGGGACCCTGTTCAATATCTTTTATAGTTTGAGAATTTTTTTTTAAGGAAATGGAAGCAAATTTGGTAATTTAAATCACCAGCATTCAGGCAGACATTTCGGCAATAAAGTTTACAAAGTCTGGATTTTTACAACCTTTCTATTCATGTTTTGTAGAAATGAGACAGGGTACTAATTTTTATACTATTTTTTATAAGAATATTTATATTGTTGGTGCTCCCATCACCAATTTCTAGATAGATGATTTTACAACCTTATTTTCAGTGTTTAATAACGAAGTTTTTATATGACTCTGCCTTTAGTAAACTTGACAAATTATTCAGCCAAAAAAAAAAAAATCACGTTTTTTTATCAGGCCTTTTAGATTTAAGAATTTTTTTGAAATCAGAACAGGCTGAATAAGGGCCTCTTAAAGAAAAGGGAAAAATAAATTTTGCAGTCAACTTCTTTATAACATTTTCAAGGGAAATTCCAGGCAGCCGTTCCTGTCGCCCAAGGAACTACAGTTTTGGTTGACTTGAAGTAGTGACCTGTGTCCATAGTGGGACTTGTGGAGGACGTACCCCAGAGGGCAGCTTAAGCCACTGGATAGATCCCAGGAGCGGGAGCCGATGCAGGATCGAGTGTCTGTGTGCGATGCTGTCTTTTGGGTTATTGCTCTGCTGAAAGCAAGGCATTCAGTTTCCTGTGTTTGTACCTAAAACACCAAAAAAGATGAGGTGAACACCCAAACCCATCCCCTTTGGCTGTTGTCTTCTTTTGATGTGGCCTTATCCATATTATATTGTGGGTAGAGCAACTTCTTAGAGAAAAAGGACATGTCAGTATTGGTTGATGAACTTTCCACCAAAGTATAGCTTGTCTGAAGTGGGGTGCACGTGCAGGTCAAGGGCTCCAAGGATCTGATTCCTTATTAAATACTAAAAGCTCTAGGAAATGCAAGTTACGCTGAGTGGCAGTAATACTGCCCAGCTGCCCTTTCGTTCATTTTCTGTAAAGGAAATTGTTTTGATCAAACAAAATGACCTGAAATGAGGTTTTTTACAGTCTACCTAGAAAATAGACTGGGGACACCACTTGCAAGCTGCGTGAGCGCATGTCCTACGTGTACAAGAGATGGTGGCCTCCTGCATCCAAGAAGCCACTGAAACTGGTTTTTGTTAAATACTGGAAGTTCAGGCAACAGAATAAATGTAAGATTATACAGAGTGTTGCACTACTTTGGTAGCCTGGGAATATTTTTTATTGTGCAGTATGTGTTTAGAGTTTGTCTTGGCCTGTTAGTTATTGGCATTTACCTTTAAAATGATGGTAAGGTGAAATATTGAATAATTGAATAAAATTAGGTTTTGTGTTCAGGTCTTTTTAGTGTGATATGGCTCCCACCTGGTCATTCATTGTATGTTATTTGATACCCATTAAGTTGCCCTTTACTATCAACTGTTATTTGACATATATGTATGTATGTATTCTTAGGAGGTTTTCCTGTGTTTGGACACTTCCATAGGTGCGTGTTCCTGTTATGAGACGTAGCACAGTTGCAGGAGAACTGCAATTGTACATAGCTCATCTGCCCCATCCTTTCTCCTACTCACGTTAAGTCAGCATAAACATTTTTGACTGCATGCCATAAATGGCATCAAATTTGGATGTTTTTCTTAATTATGACATGCACAGTAATGTTAGTCCTACTAGTGTTTGGTGGGTAATACAAGGCCTTTGAGTATTTGGTTGCTTGTCACATAGAACGTCATTCTCTGGGCAGTGTTGTTTCTGAAGAATAGATATGTTGAAAATGGTTTTACATTATACTTTCCATTTCCTGATTAGATTTGGAAATGCCTTCTGTAAACAATTCCCCACCCCGGCCCATTCGTCTATTGATTGTGTTGGGAAACAGTTCGGTGTCTGAAAAACACTCTCCCGAGAAGCAGAGCCCTCGCTCGTTGCTTCAGCGCGGAGCCCCTCGGCCGGCGGCTCTGGGTGCTGGCGGTGGAGCGAAGCAGGAGGGTCCCCAGTGCACTTTATCGCCTGAGCAGTTTTGCTTGATCTTTTTTGACTTTGAGCCTTTTAAGTAGTTTCAATTATAAAACTTAAAATATTTTGTAATTATGTTTTATGTAACAGACTTTGACTTATTATTTAAATGAGTATGTGTAATATAACTTCTTTCTTTGAATCATATAAAACTTTCTTGATTTGCAAACTAGACTGTGTCCTGTGTCATTGAACTGCTGCTTGTGACCTAAGTATACCCAGAGGGCCCGGCGCGGTGGCTCACGCCTGTAATCCTAGCACTCTGGGAGGCTGAGGCAGGAGGATTGCCTGAGACCAGCCTGGGCAAGAGCGAGACCCCATCTCTACAAAAAATAGGAAGATTAGGCGGGCATGGTAGTACATGCCTGTAGTCCCAGGCGCTTGGGACTACTGTAGCTGGGACTGAGGCAGGAAGACTGTTGGAGCTCAGGAGTTTGAGGTTGCAGTGAGCTGTGATAATGCCGCTGCACTCTAGTCCGGTGACAGAGCAAGACCTTATGTCAGAAAAAAAAAATTGTATATCCTGCATCTGACCACTTCTCACTACGTCTGCTGTTGTCACCTGGTCCAAGCAACCATTGTGCCTCCTGGATTATTGCTAGCCTCCCTGCTTCTGTCTGGGCCCCTTCAGTCTGCTCGGCAGCCACAAGAAGTGCTTTAGAAACGTTGGGTCATATGGCTCTGCCTAAAACCTTCCAGGGGCTTCCATCTCTCTCCAAGTGAAAGCCAGAGTCCCCACAGCAGCCTGCACGGCCTTAGCTGACCTGCTGCTGCAGAGAACCACCTGCACACCGCTTCCCTCTTTCCACTCCACCCAGTAGCTCTTCTCTCACGTGGTGACGATGGCAGTGTGTCTTGGGTCAGTTTCCCTGGAAAGAGACCTTCGAGACTTGCCTGCAGGACAGTTACTGGATGAAACCTCGAGGAACACCACCTGTAAGGGAGCGAGGGAAGAGGATTGGGCCCAGGGAGAAAGTGAACTGCAAAGCCAGTGTGGCAGAGGTGGACCCCACAGGAGCTCTGGTGCTGGGAGGGCCCTGTGAAGGGGTCCCAGGCTGGGACAAGGAGCGAAACCTCCATCACTGGATGAGGGCTGCCCCAGGGGAGGAGTTGGCCCCGGGCGAGATAGCTGCCTTCAGGCGAAGCCCACTCCTGATGGGCTTGCCACTCTCCCCGCAGCTGAGGGGCCCCGGTACCCGCTACCTGTTGCTGGCACTAAAGGGGCCTCCTGGGCCAGTGTTGTATCCACTGGCAGCAATACCCCCCAAACCTACAGGCCCTGTTTCTCAACCCTTACCCGCTCCCCAGCCTACTCTTTTTCCTCCTTTGGCACCGTCTCGAATGCGTCCTAAATCTCTAAGAGTTGGCGGTGAGCTCCTGGAAGGACTGTTGGACTTTGAACAGAAAAAGACCTAATTGAATCCAGGCTCGACTGCTTCCTAGCTTTGCACACTTGGGCTCATGATGCTGACCACACGGGGGAGTCAAAGGAAGATGTGTGCCAGAGGTTAGTGGAACCCATCGAATGTGTTCAGTAAATGCTCCAGAACATGGTCACCATAAGGGCAAGAACTGTCATCTTCCCACTGCGATATCGCTTGGCCAGCCCAGTGCCTGGCCTCAGTGTGCGCCGAGCATGTGTTTGAATGGACGCTGCTCCTCGCACTGGACTCTAAGCCCAGTGCTTGGCTGTCCATGGCAGGGGTGAGCTCAGCGTTGGCTTCTCGTCCCTGAGCTCCTCTGCGAACAGCCTGTGGGGAGCAGGGGCCTCCTGCTGGGGCTCCCTAGGGGTGCCAGGAAGGAGCAATCCTGCGTCCCCATGGGGAGGGTTGTAGTTGTGTGGCTAACACAGAGACCCCTGCCTTCCAGAGACACCTATCTGGGAGGTGGTGGTGGAGAAGACTCGGAGGTGCGATCTTGTCACCCACACTGCTCCTGGCTGCGCGTGCGTGCCTGCAGCCCTGTTAGCCTTCAGTAACAGTGGCCTTCACACGCAGCATTCCACCCTAAAGTCTCTCTGGTTCCCCCCGTGGGTGGCGGCCACAAGCCTGTTACCCTAGGCTTTATGACTTTGTATCTGCTGTTCTCCCTCTGTTGTCACCAAGGTTCTTAACTACTTTCTGGCCAAGACATCGCAGCTCCTTTACTTTCAACCTGCCTCTTTGTTGAGGGATTTTTAAAATGAGGAACTTGAGACATTGTCCTAACAGTTGGGCCCCATCCTGGGAGTGAGCCTGGCCCACCCCAGGGATGTGAGACACCCAATCCCCTAAGTCTCGGAGGTTCACTCTCAATATCCTCTCGCCTTTCCTCCTAAGACACCTCGCATGCAGACAGGCTTCCTCTCCCCAGCATGGTTCTTGCTGAGCTCAAAGGACAAACTGGCAAACACGATGAAGAGGAAACAAGACAGCACAGCCAGGTGCTTGGGAGGGCCTGCACGTGCACAGTGGGCGAACAGTGCAGTGGTGGAAGCCGAGCGCCAGTGTCCCCGGCTGCCTGGCTCTGCTGCAGCGGCCTCTGGGGAGCTTGCCCAGGGCCCCTCTGTACTCCTCCAAGACCAGAGATTCTGACCCCTGCTAAGAACATGCCAGGTTTTACTGACCTTAGTTTATTACAAATCTCATTTACCTGCTGAAATATATGTAAGCTCCTCCATGACAGGGATATCACAAACCCAGCCAGCCAGCCAGCCACCCAACAAGCATTTAATGAAACCCAAGTGAATTATCCCAGTTCTTGCCCCCAAAGGGCTCATAACTGTGTGGGTGAGACAGGTGGGAAAACACAGAGCACCAAGCAGACAACAGAGGTGGAGAGAGGGCCGGGGAGCACCAAGCAGCGTGGCTGATCTGCCTGTGCCACCAGAAAAGTCTGGGGACAACTGTGCCTTGAAGGTCAAGGGAAGTTTTCAAAGCCTAGGACCAGAGCAGCAGGATGCAGAACAAAGATGTCAATGTACACACCAGGCGGTGGGGGCCCAGCGAGGAGGAGGGGGAGGGCTGGGGGGTCATTCTGAGTCCCTTGCAAAGGGCCAGCGAGCCGAGCCGCAGGTCCCCCAGGGCAGGAGTGAGGAAGCAGCCCCGCCCCCACCACACTCACCTGAATTCTGGTGTGGACTTGGGAGGGATGTGGACATGTGCTGTTTAAACATCGGGCCTTTGCTCCTCTTCCCTCTTTCCC